GGGAACGGAACGGAAGGAAGAAGAACGAACGTACGTACGTACGTACGTACGTAGTAGGTAGTGTAGGAGAGACGAACGAATATAGTGTGTGTGTGTGTGGGAGAGAGAGAGAGAGAGAGAGAGGGAGAGAGAGAGACAGAAGTGGGTGGGGGGTAATGCCTTCTACCATAATAAGCCCATCCCTACTGTTTAAGGATGTTAGATGCTTCTAAGTACTTGACCTATACCTTTGCATTTAATTCTTACAACAACCGAGTGAAGTAGTTACTATAATTTCCATTTTACAAATGATAAAACTGAGGCTCAGGAAGATGAAGTGACTTACGCCACAGTTAATTTAACCCAGTTCCTAAATGTTTTGGGATTTAGCCCCGGTCTGTATGGTCCCAAATGCTGTGTTTTCTCCAGCAGGTGCTGAGCTGCCTGCCCCGTATAGAAGTTGCCTGTGAGGAAAACGAGGCTCAGAGAGGTGACCTACCCAAAGTTACACAGGCAGTAAACAGCAGAGTTGGGATCAGAATCCAATCTGTCTGTCTCCAAAGCAAGCTTTTCCACTACAACAGGCCAAGATCTCCCTTTCTGACCCCCTCCAACGACCCCTCAACTCCAACACACACACAAGCACACAGGCTCACAGCTATGGGCTCTGGGGTGCTCCTCTCCCTCCTCTCTGCCCGGATCACTAGCACAGCCCGGTGCTGGGAATGCGGCTGTGGACGTTCCCATCGAGCAGAGTGAATCACTAAGGGCAAGCCCCATTCTGGAGACATGTGCATCCCACGGGGGAATTAGACCTTAACCCAAAGGAATGTGGCTGTGATGGCGGAATTTCAGGCAGCTGAGGTTGGGGGTGGGGGTCATTTTTTACCACCCATAAAGAAGGCTGGCTGAGGAGCCCCTTGGAGAGAGGTGGGTACTATCACCACCCCCAGAGACAGGCAAGCTATCTGGCGCGGTGGAATGGGAAGACCCACACCTGGCCAGGGTCAGAGGGTGACAGATCAGGATTCAAATCCTGATCTGCCCTTGACTAGCGGCGTACTCCCTGGGCAAGTGCCGGCCTTTCTGCGGTGGTTTTCCCATCTGTCAAATGGGAACGCCGGCCTCGCCCTTCATGGGAAAGATCCGCGGACCTAGGAGCCTTGGAGACCTCTGAGGCCGAGGGAGGGTCAACCCCGGCTCCACGCGCAAAGCAGGGGGCGGCGGCGGGAGGGGACTGCTGAGGATCCGCGTCTCGAGGGTCTGGCCCTAGCTCAGCTCCGCGCCGGGTGCTCGAGAGGAGCGCGGGACCGCCGGTTCCCCGAGGGGGCCGGCCAGCCTCGCCCGCTGGGCGGCTCCTACC